AATCTCCCGCTCAGCCCTCGCTTTTATAGAAATCGTGTGGGTGAAACGGTGCTAGGAAGGGGTGCAGCTTATAAAGATATAAAGAATTAAAAATATAAAGATTATTACAAATTGTCAAAATAAGATTAAATAATGTATTTGTATAATATACTATTTAATTGTTGATGTAAATTTTTGTTCTAAAATAGTTTATCTGCAAAACGTTCTTGAATTGTGTAATAGCATTTGTCAATAAATTTTTTTCTTAGTAGCTTAATAAATTTGTAGTTACTCTCATAAGTCAATGGTTGCTCTCTTCTTTTTTTTGTCGTTAGATAATTTATTAAATATTTTAATGGCCATTTCATGTGAACTTAAAATTAAATTAAAATTAGTGTCTTCTAACTAATTTTAATTTCGATGGCTGTCTGATTAAATTATTTTTATACCGGGACGGGTAGCGTCGAGATTGGACTCCTTCTTTTAAATATAGTTCAGAGTGGTGTCTTACAAATTTGCATAGTTCTAAAACATAAATCGCTGGCAAAGTCAATATTTTCAAACGCTTAAAGTGTGATTTATAGCTTTTAGTTGTTTTTAAGTTAGCTAGGATACGCACACGCTTTTTTTGAATGATAAGCAAGTCTTGTGCAAGTCGTGCTGTTCCCCCACAAAATAACGCCATATCTCAGCCACGCGTACGCGTAGGCATAGTATGCACTAAGAGCTGAGAAATTAATATTTAATGGCGTTTTTTGGTCCGGCCTAAATTCCATTATTTTAGTTTTATTGAAATTTATATCTAAATTATGGCCAGTCCATGAAATTATATGGTTTAAAATTGTATTAAGTTTAATTTTTAGATATAAATTACTTTTACAAGATGTCAATACTGATACGTCGTCCGCATATAATAATCTAGTTTCTTCAAGGCATTTTGGAAGGTCGTTTATGTATATTAAGAACATGATACATCCGATAACACTCCCCTGAGGAATTGAGCATTTCATAATTTGAGCATCGGACTTTATTTATTATACCTGTTTCTTTGTTTAGGTAGTCGACTTCCACATACTGTTTTTGGTTTTGAAGGTAGGAAGAGAACCATTGTACTTTTCACAGAAAGAGTATAACCGATTGCACATTGCCTTCTCATTTTTTTTCTTCTTTCCGTAAAGGAAAAGGCAAAGGTTTTACACCATACAGCCAAGTCTTAGTACATTATTAAGTCTTTTGAGCCATGTCTTCGTTTAATTATGTTTCTGTAAATATGGCCGCCACAAAGGGGATAGGCAATTTGAGGCGGCGTGCTTGGATTGGCTCGGGATTCCTTAGAACGGGCAGATACGGGTGTTCTAGTTCGAGATTCGTATAATTTCGCGTTTTAATCTTCGATTAAGGCACAATAGCACTATCCTATTCCACTTTAAACTAGATTTCACAAAATAATTGAAAGTCAAAATAAAAACAACACTTTTCCCTCCAAAAGGCCCAGAGCGAATCCATTGCCTTCTCAATTATTTTTGACAGTGTCGGGAGTAGTGCTATAGGGCAGTAGTTATTTGCGTCTGTCTTGTCATTTTTCTTGTGAACCGGTTTTACTATCGTTATTTTGAGGGAGTCGGGGAATATACCTTCTGAAAAGGATTGATTAATTGTTTGAGTCAATGGTAATATCAATTCATCAGCGCATTTGCTAATTAAAGAGGGTGGAAGATCTTCTATGCCTGCACTATTTTTATTATTTAAACTACGGATTAATTTGTTTACTTCAAATCGGTTCTACTCGGCATAAGAACATTGTGTTTTCCGACGGGTACAGGACTTGTGTTGGCCGGACCGTGACGAGCCGTTGGGCACTTCACCGGCTGATACAAAAAACTTATTAAATGCGTTTGCAACTCTTTTCGGTTCAGACATTTCTATATCGTTCATAGTCAACGTTATGTTATGAAGGGAATATTTTTAGTTTTGTTTGTGTTTTCATTTATTATTTTCCACATACATTTGACTTTGTTATCTGCAAACTCCATTCTGTCACTAAATTGTAATTTTTTCGCACACGCAATAGCTTTTTTCAATAATTTTTCATATTTCCGATAGTGTTTTTTTATTATTTCATTATTTGATTGTACTAACAATGCTTTTAGTGATCTTTTATTTTTGTACGATTTTTAATACCCTGGGTAAACCAATGTTATTTAGATTTAATTAAATATTATGATTAAAATCCCGATCATTTTTCCGTGACCTAAAATTATTAACCTTCCCATGTCTGTACATCTTTGAGGCATCTATTTTTGTTAAGACGAACTTGAGTGAATTCCCAGAAAAAGTAAGTTCACAAGCGCACTTATTTCGTACCAGGAAATATATGGTCCGAAGAAGTATATGTAAAACGGCCCTATACAAAAATAGCGTTGTTGATATTGCACCCAAAATATTTAATAAAATTCCAGACGCAATAAAAAATCTTAGTGGAATGCAATTCAAGGATGTATTAAAACAATTATTAATTGACAAATGTTACTATAGCATAGAAGAATATTTCAATAATAGTTTCTTAGAATATGTAAATGCTGACAGTTGGGTACCATTTAGTTATTAATATTTTTAGACTTTTTAATTATTATTAGTTTTTTGACATTGTATACATTTTTCTTTTATTTTGACATTACATTTTTATTTAATTGACTTCGTATGCCACTTTGGCTTATTGCAGAGATTCCATAAAATTATTATTATCATCTATATCATGTACCTGTAATAACGAACGAATAAATGAATGAAAAAAAAGAAATAAATGTCTTAATAATTTATTCAATAATTTGTCTAAAATTCTGATTTACATTGTCATTTTTTATATCTATAATTTTATTCCATTCTACATCTCATAATTTATTTTTGAAACATTGTATGTTTTTATTGCTATATATTCTTTTCGTAATTTTTATGTTTGTCTGTATATTTTGCGGAATAGTTTTTAGCTCGATAGAAGAACTTTTATGATCAGAAAAACCAAAGTAATGAACAGACGTCGCTATATTTAAATCGTTGAAGTTTGAGAATATTAAATCAATATATATGATGCATGAGGTTTTTTATATGTTGTGTAAAATTGTATTCTGACATTAGATTTAGAAGACAGCGAGTATGTTTAGTATTTGTTTTCACATTTATATTCAAGTCGCCACCAATTATAATTCTCTTTTTATGGTATTTATTATAATAATTCAAAATATTGTTTAATTGTCTATAAAATAAATCTGTTTTCTTAGAATTCCAATATAATACAATTATTAATATGTCCAACTGCAGTAATTCAACTGCACAAACCTCTAATACATATTCAATAGTCATATTCGTGATGTCCTGTCTGTGAATATACTCGATGCCACTTCGTATCAGAGGGTCTACTCTCAATCTTCGTCCGACATCCGTCCGAAACAATTACTGAAACAAATAAGCAATACTTGACCAAATGAAAAGACGCGTGATGCAAATGAAACTTCATACTGGATACTTGTCTTTTAATTTTGTCGAATATTACTTATTTGACAGTAATTGTTTCGGACGGATGTCGGACGGAGATGGAGAGTAGCCCTCCAGAATGCAAACGCCACCGCCTACATAGTTTTGCCTGCAATATGCAGCCGCGATATCGTACTCACTAAAATTTATGAGCTCGAGCTTGACTTGTGTAAGCCAGGTTTCTGTGATCCCTATAACGTGTATATTCTATGAATTATCCTTCATAAAATCCTCGAGTATATGAAGTTTATTCCAGACTGTATGTTTTGAAAAATTTCATTTAACTTACGTGACGAATCAGAATTTTGGTGAATTAGAATGAATTTTCTCCTGTAAAGTTCGAAAATCTCGGTTTTATTCATTTCAGACTTTTGATTGCTACTGTCTTCATGAATCCATAGTTAAGTTTTGTAAGTTTTCAACATGACATCGTTGATAAATAAGCTCAAATCTTTGAAAATTTGGCGAAGACCTCTGTTATTTAAAAACCCTAAAAAACAGTAAACATGCGATTATCGTACGTTAAATTCTTGTTCGAGTCCAGTACATCGGCACACTCATAAGTCAAATTTTTCCGATAGAGTAAATTATTAAATGTATCAACACGCTCGTTATATAATAAACTTGAATGCAAGTCGTGTCTAAAAGTTGGTAAACAAATAAATACATTTGTATTTTGGATTTTTAACAGTTCACTTCTGAGCATACTAACTAAACTCTTATAGTTCGTACTGGTTTCAAAATCTTTTTCACAACAATCACATAATGTAAAATCTTTCACTTTTGTCTCTAAATTTGTCAATAATTGCTGCAGTTCTACATTTGGTGTCAAGAAATGGCAAATTTTTGTATTCTGGATGGTAGATGTTGTTGTCGTTACAACTCTGTTTCTCTTATTCGTGCTAATAATACACATGCTGTATTGAACATGTCGAGTATCGTGTTTTAATGGATTCAGACCATTAGTTTTCGTATCTTGCAATTTTGGTGAACTAGTAGCGCCATCTCGCGGGGAGTAGTGCTCATCAATATTTATAGTCACATTCTCTGAATTAGAAAAATCCAAAGTTCTTCTTTTTAATTTATTTATTTTTATTCTTTTTTCGACTTGAGTATTGGCTGATGGGACTCGAAGTGTATTTGGTGTCAGTTATTTTGCATGTTTGCTTTAATTGTTTATTTTGTAATTTCCGTTTTTGTAATTGTTTTTGTAACGTAGAGTTTTCCTTATGTAAATTAATAATTTCATTGTCAGCTGCTTTAACCTTCTAATTCAGCTTGTTGATTTCAGCTTTTAAAGCCTGGAAATCACTTTCAAGGCAAGATCTAGGCCCGAGGCAGGTTCTGTTTAAATCGATTGAGTTCGATGATATCTCAATTTCATCATTGTCATCTAAGGAGCTGAATGAGTTCTCGGTAGATACATTTATGACGATTTTTTTGTGACTTGTAACATTTTCTTTTTATTTATGAAAATCCAACCAACATAATTGACATTTCCAGTTTTGTTTATTATCCGTAGTGATTAGGCGAAATATTTGAGATGAGACATTTGCACATGTTAAATCATATATTCTTTTACAAATGACATAAATCACAAATTCTCTGTTATTTATATTTTATTTACTTTTACCATACTGTGTAGTCATTTTTCCTTTTTCGTGCCCCCTTGCGTCTAGTAGCAATACTTATTTATAGAGTTTGATAAAAACCACCACTAGATGTAACCACTATCAACGAGTTATTATAAAGATCTAGATTAATGACGATCCATAATAAAAGATGTCGTTGTATGGCCAATAACTTTCGCCAATAACAGGTGTCACTTTTGTGTACTTGTATTTTTTGTGGATATGTTTTTATATAACAATTTCACTATGAGTCTACTACAGTACCTTATTTAAGTCGCCGTGCAGCTCTACAATTTTATGGCAAACACTATACAGAGAATGTTTATTTTGTCTTACAGCTAGTGCTTTTTCTTAGTAGAAAAATAATAATCTTTGGTTCTGTTATAAACCACTTAAAACACTACACGCTATTTTTGGCAATAATTTGGTAGACGGTTTTGACGTAAGAAAATAAAAGTTAAAAATAATTATAATGTTTATATTTTGTTGAATATGGGTTATTGGAATTGAACCCGAGTCTCATGCGTGAGTGTCCACCGCTTTTCGGCTGCGCCACTAATTTGCAAAGTCCGTGCGCCGAAATTTATGCTCACTATAACATGAAAATAGTAGGTACCACAATTCTTTTGTTCTTCGGGTCTTTTGTTCACTAATGGGATCAAAGTTCAAATTTTAAAAAGTTTAACGAAAATTGGATTTTTGTTTTAGATTTAACACTGTTATACTGTTTTAATTTAACAGTGAAATGATACAAACACGTTCCGTTCACTTTAACTTTTGGTGTATTTTTTTGCGAATACTATTAAATTTTACCACTTTTATGTATTAAAATCACATAAGGAACGTTCAGCATGTTTACTCTCTTTCGAATTCGCGGACGACCTCCTTATCGAGAGTCGCACAGGAATTAAATGTATATTTTAATAGAATAATATATAAACAGTTTATTTTAATTGTGTTGTTTTTAAGTGATTCTGACGTTGTTGTGTTCGACTGTAATGGGCTCACATACTAGTTTTGTATTATTATAATAATTTATTTATTTTAGGAAAATTTGAGTAATCCAATGCCATTTACTTTTTCTTTTCTTTGAATTTCCACCAACATGAAACAATATAAAGTGCTTAGCAAGCCAAAAAGAGATTATAGGAGAAAACAAAGAACACAGTCACTAAATTAAAAAAAATATAAATAAAAAATACTATTAATAGACAATTAAACGAACAAACCCTTAGAGGATGGAAAAAAATGAACAAACCAGTGTATTCATCGCCAATCACGTGATGTGTCAAAGTGACGTTTGGTCATTTCTCGCCTGACTGTCTCTATCTCGTTCGAACAAAACAAATCAAATTCAGAACGATTTACTATCGCATTGTTATAAAGTCTCAATGCACGCACCATGTACGTATTTTGTGCCTATAATTAGTGCTCGCAAACTGCACTTACAGAGGTGGTCGACATCTGTAATGCGACAAGATTGTGCGCAGGTTAATGTGCAACAACAATCCTGGACAATCAATATTACCGTTGGCGATCCTCATCAGAAAACTGACGTCACTAATGTCTCGACGTACACGAAGCGGCAAAAATGGTACCTAGTACACCTATGCTCATCACCTGATGAAAATTGTTTCCAGTAGTCCAGATAACGTAAAACTCAACGAACGAACGAACGAACAAACAAATAAACAAATAAATAATTAAATATAACGTCTTCGTCCTGCATTTAGAACATTAAAACACGCTACATACTAAGCTTCACTAGAAATGTCCGACCTGAAGGCATTTTGAAACACTGCGACGTAGGACGAGTTTGAACCTATTACCGCAAGTAGGGCTTGTAAAATCGTTTGGCAGTACCAGCACCGACCTGCAGTGCAAGCACGACGCGACTTGCGCAAGTCGCCAGCGCGCGCTGCAGAATGGTTTCAATATAGTCGAGATACAAGTCGTTTCGACCTTTGTTAGGGCACGTTTCTACTATGTCGTGACGACAGATTGTCGTGAAGTTTACAGTGTCGTGTCTTGTATATTTAATTGAAGTTCTTCACATATAGCACGACACGATTAACTGTCGTTCACGAATTTTTCATCGTTTATCGTCACGATAAAAACGTGACGATAGATTGTCGCAGCTCCTATTGTCGTCACGTTTTATTTTGTACGTCACGTTATATTTTCTTTTCTTTGTTTGCTTCCTCTTCCGCATTTTTAAAAAGTAATACATTATTAAAATTTCATCGTCATCCATTTCGGGTGAACACACACTACCGGCTGCCGGTGCATCAAACGATTCTGTCGTGCAAACGCCAAGGAGGCTGTCGGGCAACGATAAATTGTCGTCACGATCTAGTGGAAACAGCTAGTCACGACAATCGTTCAACGATAAAAAATCGTCCATGACAGGTAGTCGTGATATGGGAACAGGCTAGACACGACAGTCGTCCGACGGTAATAGAATGTGACCACATAGGAGGACGCGCCCTTATAGTTAAGGTCTTTTTTGCAATGGTTTGATACCGATAATTTTTATACTGTTTATATAAAACTTCTAACTGTTCATTTATTTCACAGCAACATTCACTGATATTGAATAAGGCAGATCTGAAAATAATATCATCTAGGGAATGTAACAGAATTCATCATAAGGAGATGAAACATTTTATTTGCACGTCATCTCTCGTTTCCGATATTCACAAGGTTCGTTTTTGTATTACAATAACAGGGAGAAGTTAATCTGTTCCCAAAATTTATTGTCATCTATATTCGTCACTTTTACCAACCATAGTGATGATCAATTCAAATATTACTACGACTAATGTAATAAATATACAGTGTGTTTTTTTAACTGGGACAGTATGGTGAAATCTGAAACCATGCAAGGAACATCTCTTAGGAACCATTAAGACAATGGTTTTTGTGAAAACAATTTAGTAACTTTTTTGGTCAAGCGTGAGTTGTCCATAAACATGAATTAAATCCATTATTATTTTTTTAGTGCTGATTGATTAAATTTCATGTAAGTATCATTTTATTGTATTGGAAGAAAAAATCGGGAGATCAGAAATTGGTCAATTTTAATTAAATATTTTTTTATACAAAACGAATAAAATTGACATTGATTGTCCCAACTCAAAAACATATACTGCATTATTTTGAACTCTAAAAAAATGTTTCCATTATGATAACAACATTTACATGAATCACTGGCTACATATAGGTACCAGAATGTTGAATCAAAATGTAAAGACGATTGAAGTCATTCTTTTTCAAATTCAGAGTGGTTATACCCGGCGACTTTTAGCAGCACTTGCGATTTATAGGCGATTGCATCGATGCTAACGCGTGACTGCGGTTGCATCGATGCAAACGCGTGACTGCAACGATAGAAACGCGCGATTGCGATTGAATTTGGTATCAAAAAATGTACCTAATTTGTACTATTTAGTACCTCTATTAAAAAAATTTGTACCTCCATCAGAACGAAGTTATAGCAATATCTATCAATATGGCGGGTGTACCTCAGATTGCCAGTATTTATTTAATAACTATAAAAACTTCTTATTCCAAAAATTTGTACCTTAATAGTACTTTGAAGTAAAGGAAACTCCAGCTCGATCTGCTGGTTAGAGTCTGACAAATAAGACAAAATATGTTGAAATTTCAGACTGCCTGTAGTACATTTTTGGTACCAAAAAATGTACCAAAATTGTACTATTTAGTACTTATTCTTAATCAAAATTGTAAATATTTTCGTACTTTTTTAATAAATTTCCGCCATTTGTTTGGGTACGTAGACAAAGATTTCCACCATACAGCCTCTTTATATGTCAGTATCTTTCCTTGTTTTGATTGATAGGGTTACAAGCGCGTGTCCTTAATATAGTTTATTTCATGCAATGGTCGGAAAAAGGTGTTCCACATATATAGATACATGTACATATTGTGTACAATACATAGAGTTGTTAAAACCACCAAAAATT